AAAGCAGGCATGCCACAATAGTGTTCCAATGGTTATATTTGTAAGTCATTAATTATGTACAACAACATACATAAATGCATCCAACCAAAAAAGGCCATCCCAAGCTACCAAACTACACTAGACAAAATGTATTTATCATGGGCTATACCTATATAATGCAATACATCATATCAGATGGGAAGCATAATGTCCATATAAAGATTATGCCAATATGCCAGAATGACACCCAATACAAATGGGTGGGGAAGGCAGCATTTACAGGTACAGAAAGATGTTGTGCCCTAAAGCATTGTCTTCTATCCCCATCAGTACCAGGTGTCCTTTTTATGCTACTAGTATCTGTATGCCCTGGCATAATCTTTATGTGGATCTAATGCTTCCCAGCTGAAAGGATGTATTACATTATTTACTTATAGCCCATGTTAGATACATTTTGTCTAGTGTAGCTTGGTATCTTGGGATGCCTTTTTTGGTCAGATGTTTTTATGTATCGTGTTGTACATTATTGATGATTTTTATAACTATTTAAACCCTATTGTGATGTGCTGTCTTTATCATTTTTATTTACTGGATTGTATGAAACTCCCATGGAAGTCTCTGTATTTAGTTTTAGCACCCCTTCTGTTATATGTTTTACATTGAATTATGTTTTATTAAGGGTGTGCAGACTTTTCTGACTATTATCTAGTCCACTGTGAATTAATTGGACCCCACTCCAGAGAACCTCCATAATGATGTCTAAAGGGGTTTAGTTTTCAGTGAAAATTATTTATGAAAATGTTGGGAAACTGCTAAAAAATAGCTTTTTGCTCTTATTACTACAATCTATTATCAGTTGCTAATTGGTCTGCCCCTAAACTCCCTCTGTACAGACCAGATGACCAGATCGGGGGAGGAGTGAAGGATCCAAATTCAAGGTTTTAAAAATACCAATATACAGCACTTGACTATATTAAGAAAAAGAATACAATTTATATATATATCAAATTTAAGTATAAATAATTATCCCATACAATGTAAACTGATCAACCAGTAAAATGAGTAATATACAGTAATAATTAGAAAAAGTCTGCACACCCTGAGCAAAGCATATAGTTCAACAGGAAGCCTATAAGAGAAAGGAGGCTAACCCTAAGGGGTTTATTTACTAAAGCTGGAGAGTCCAATATCAGACTCCCTTCTGCATAGAAACCAATCAGCTTCTAACCTCAGCTTGTTCAGTGAAGCTTTGGCAATGAAACCTGGAAGCTGATTGGTTTCTATGCAGAAGTGAGTCTGATTTTGCACTCTCCAGCTTTAGTAAATAAACCCCTAAATGTCAAGGCTTCCTCAAGAGTCTCTAAATATTCAAATAAATAAAAAATGGTAAACACACATGTGTTGTATACCAGTGATGAACTTTTATGATTTATCACTGAAAGATCATTTGTTTTTACACAACAAATTTTTGTTATTTTGACCTTAATGTGTTTTTTTGTGTGCACAGTTTATTAGTAGATATGTGTTATCAATATACACACTCATCATTTATTTTGCCGGATGATTATCAATATACCATTGTTTGGAATAATGATTTTGGATTTTATAGGGTTTTATTTTTTATTTATAGTGCTGTATATTGGTATTCATTTTTGAATATTTTTGTGATATTTGTACAGCTGCTAGGGTGGTGTTTCATAACATTTCTTATGAGTGTGGAATATTTATTTAATTATTTCAAATTCCAATGGAAGCAACAGGTTCATTTTTTAACAGTTTCTTAACTGATTTGCAGGATTTTAATATATCATTGTATACCTCCCAGCTTTCTGAGATGGGAACAGGGACGCCTATTAGCAAAAGTGTGTAGGCACAGGACACCTCCACTGCCATACCCCCCTTAAAGGAGAATTATATATATATATATAAAAAAAAGATTGGTTAAACCAACAAGTGCTTTTTTACCAATACTATTCCTTCATATTGGCTTGTGAAATTTACAAATGCATCAATTTAGAAATTGGATGAAAGGTTTAGCACTGTAAAACGCTTTTTGATAGATACAGTAAATAGTGCATTTTATATACAACTGTATACATCAGACCCAAATGAGGAGGAGGGAGAGACATAGGGACTGTCATTCGAAATCAGTTACAGTTGGGAGCTATGACAATGCATTGGATTTTAGGTTTAGGTCTGTTTCAAGGGAACGTGATTTTGGGGTTCATCACTGGATGGATCACCATCAGGAGGAAGGAGGTCCTGATTCCCATATACTTTATAGATCTTTAGTTATCACTAGAAGCATAACAGCAACAAGAAGGAGGAGGTCATGGATCCTCTATATAAATGTTTAGATATTAATAGAGGGATTACCAACAGAAGGAACGAAAGGCCTAATTTCTCTATATGGATCTTTAGTTATCACAAGGTTTAACCACCAGGAAGAAGGAAGTCCTGATTCCTGTATATGTTTATGTTGATCATACACTGATCAAAATTCTGCTGGTTCATAATGAACTGCTCAAAATTATGGGCGTGTAAGCAGGTTGCCTGCAGTGTGTTAGTTAGGAAGTTGGCTTGCCCAAGCAAGGTAAGGGGTTAACTGTTAGCACCTCAGTTCCTGAGCTTTTTTGGGCCCTGTCCTTTTACCCAGTGATATATATAGGGGGAAGGCCAGGCTCTTAGGGCCTACTCCCAGAGATACTGTGAGCACCATGGAACACTGACAGGGATTGCTGCACCCAGCAGCCCGCTGGAAGACATCAGAAGGCCGGATAACTGCCAAGCCTTGGAGAATGCCAATAATGGACTATCACCTTGCTGAGGTACGCCTGGGCAGCCTAACTTAGTCAGTTAGGAAAATGTTGCACTGGAGTGTATTTTAGATCAAAACTGTCCCGTAAAGTTGCATCAACTGTTCAAGCCTGGTCTGCAGCAGGGGCGGACTGACCATTTGGAAACTCGGGCACTGCCCGAGGGCCCGGGGACAGTAGGGGGCCCCATGAGATGCCTCTGGTACCTTTTTCATAGGCTGTTTTGAGTGATAGTTTCTGGTGTATGAAAGAACAAGGTCAGTAAAGCACACGTGGGGTACGAAGCAAAGCCACTACTAAAGGTTTACTCAGCAAAACAAGCAGGATGAGGAACACAGTTCAAGAACTAGAATAAGATACATTGCAGACGGTCATTAAGCGTGGTACCTGTTATGGCAGAGGGTTCTCTGGTAGCGAACGGGTTGGTGATATGGCTCCCTCCCCAGCAGTTGGAAACCTAAAGGTATTGGGACCGAACCCGCATTATAGACCCACAGCTTTGCCGCTTGGTATGAGATGAGAGGAAAGAGTTAAATAAGGACATGCATGAGGTTGTGCTATGTGCATGGTGGGACCCCATCCTGTCACTGGTAGTAAGGATACAGATGTATGCTGGACTGGTGGAGAGGGCATAAGCTCAGCAGTGTCCCTCCTAAATGCAATATACAGAGGAGAAGTGTGTGTAGTGACACAGGGTAGCATTCTACAGAGGGACTCTGTGTAATTAATTTCTGCACACATTTTTAAAATTAGGGAACCGCCATAATGTTTGATCCTCATGTGAAAGCAGTCCCTGCCTCGTCCCAGGCATTGATGAGCGTGCACACATGTAAAAAGGTACCCCATATGCAGAGTGAGTGGCCCTATTGGCCATCTCCAGATCGACATCCCTTGTCTGAAAAATATATCCAATCAGATGCAGCTGCTGTTTGGATATTTTGACAGCTATCGAGGCAAAGTAGGAATTTTTTCCATTCGAGCTGTATAGTGTGGATGAAGGAATCTATTCTTTTTTTTATTTTACCAAAAGTATAGCTGATTCTTGGAACAGACTTCCAGCAGAGGTAGTTTGTTAGTCAACAGTAATTAAATGTACACGTGCTTAAGACAAACATAAATCTAACTCAAAAAGGTACAAAAACAATAAAATATCAAAAACGGTCAGCCTTGACTGATCACTTGACCTCTTTCTACCAGCACTCTTCTGTGTTTGTATAGCAGGTACTGGATTCATTGCTGCCAATGTCATAGTTTTGACCATGTAAGGGCCCTAATGGAGTAAACATGGAGGTGAATGGTGATCAGAGACAACAGGCGGTGTTGTACTTGTTGGCACAATGGAGGAATGCCAAGAGGACATAGCTATGATGGCCATCAAAGAGGTGCCCAACCTGTTTGTATGCACTGGGGCCTGTGCCATCCATGTCGCTTCACCTGCATTCCATATTTCTCTCCGCTTTCTCATGTCTCATTTATTTTGCTTCCTCCTTGCAAAGTGAAATAAAGACAGAAGAGGACAGGGTGGGTGAGAGGGACTGCAAGAGCTCTGAACAGATAAAGGAGGGGTGGGAAAGAGCGGGCGATGAGGGAGTGTCAGCTCTGGCCGCATAACTTCACTATTCACACAGGGCTGCTATTTGGGAACAACAGGAGGACAAGTCTGTGCGGCTCAGCACAGAAATTGGAGAGGGTTCCAGAGAGGGGTCAGCCAGGGAGAGAGCATCAGAACTAGTTACAGGTGGAGCCAAATAGCCAGGGAGGCAGAATACCAGGGGATGGAGTGCAGGAGAGAAAAGTGGGGTCTCTGGTAAGGAACAGAAGGCAACAGAGGAAGAGAAGAGGATTAAAAGGGGGCCAGAGAGAGGGGGAGAGAAGTGACAGCCAGTGGCAAGAAGTCTGAGCAGAATAGAGGCAGGGAGGAGGGGGGCCTGGGAGCTATAGACAGGTATATACACTGACACGCCTAGCACTTCACAGGGACTACATGTACACACCCACTGCTATACAGCCACATGTACAAAGCATAGCCACTCACAAACACGTATGCACACACATGTACATACACTCAGAAATATGCATGCATCCACTTCCACCCCTCCATGAGAGCAATACTGAATGAACCTATACATGTGTACACAGACACCTGCAAAACATTGAACTACATGTGTTGGAGGTCCTGAACTCTGTACCCCACACACGGTATGTATGGCTGTGCACGCTGCCTATACCATCCTCATCCTTCCGCTTCACAGCAGCCGAGAGGCCTTGACCTTCTACCTGTGGGTGAGTCTATAGGATCGGGTCATGTGATGGGGGGGGTTTATGTATGTGTGCCTAACACACTGCCTATCTATCTATCTATCTATCTATCTATCTATCTATCTATCTATCTATCTATCGTATCTATCTTGTCAGCTTTCCCAAATCTATTGGTCAGACTATCTCTGTATTTACCCTGTAACTGTTTGTCTGTCCATCTGTCCATTTATATATGTAGCTTTCCATCCAGATCGATCGATCGATCTATCTCTCTATCAACTTTCTTACATTTCTTTCTTTCCACCTTCACAACTTTGTCATATCTATCTAACAATCAGAATATCTATCTATCTATCTCTCTTTACTTGACAAGTTTGATAATCAGTATATATATCTTTTTTATCATTACATATCTATTTTTATCCCTCTATCTATTTGAGTATAGTCGCACCCTTGTGTTCCTTTCACTTTTTTACATCAGTCTGTCTATCTATCTATCTTTACAAAATGGTCATATCAAAAATCAGTATATCTATTTTTATTTATCTATCTATACAAAATCGTCATATCAAAAATTAGTATATCTAGATCTATCTATCTATGTATGTTGCAGTATTGTCTCTCTTGTCCTCCAGGCAATGACCCCCCACATACACATGCTGTAATCTGTTAATCCTCGGCGGGGTTGTGACACTCGGTCTGTGTTTATGTGACACACAGTGGTGACTCTGCTGTATTTGTCTTCTGGATTGTACAGTAAAGAAAATGATGGGTTTGGTTGTTGTTGACAAAAGCTGCAAGTAAAGTGACTAGTTTTTCCTGAATCCACCCCATAGTGTTATCAGGTGATGCTAGGTTGTAATGTCACAGTATGGACAGAATGCAGAACAATAAGATGTGAAAAGTGATGTGTGATCTTGGCACTTACTGTACATCCTCCTTGCAGCTGTCATCCTTCTAGAGCACATTATAATACATGAAAACAAAATACAAGAAAACAAACATTTCCTTCTCCATAGTTTTCCAGCCACACATAACAAAGGTGATTGTATTGGTGGAAACATGTTACAATCTGTTCACTTCATTGTATGATTTTTATTTTCATTTGTTGCTTAAAAACTGACCAATGTGTTCCTTTTAAATTTTTTGAACTGATTTTTCTGTCAAAAAACACAAAAGAAGCAACCGGAAGGGTCACAAAAATAATTTTATATAGAGTTTTAAAGTGTAGTACTCAAAAACTATTTATTGTCAATTCATTGATTTCTAAACAAATCTAAAGTTGATTGCATTGTAATCAAAAGTAATAAGTGATGGAATTTTTATTCCTCCTGTAGAAAATGCTACACCCAATTGCAGTCAATGCCAGTCACATTACCAAAAGTCTTGGCATTTGGTCATGTGATACCTGCCAAAGATGCTAATCAGTCAATCTGAGTACTGATCTTCCTTCCCTTCAGCAGGACCAAATTACTGAAAATCCTAGATGTTTGGTTGCATGGCTGGCAATTGAAGGAGCCTGGAGCAGCATTTTCCCCAGGGTAGCTAAATTTTTTAGCCCTTCAATTCAGTTCAATTAGTTTTTCAATTTCTGTAGAAGGGACATGCTGTAATCAGCTGCAGCCACTGAATTGTATATTATGATAGCTTCATGTGCCACTATCACAGTACAGTGTCATGGCAGGGGGATTCTTCTATCCACCTCATTTGTGTGGATGAAGCAATTTGTTAGTTTTTTTTAATTTTACCTGTTGGGTTGAGTGTATGGCCAGTTTAAAGCATGGATTGAAATTTGGCTAGTTCAGCAGGAACTGGCTGAATTTCAATCCATGTGTGGGCAGAGAGGTTGTATAGAAGTCAATCTACTGACTGATGTCTATGCAACTGCCCTGTCGGATTTTCCCCACTTGATCAACACTTCCAGCTATAGCTGGCAGTGCTAATCAGTGTATTCTAATGCCTGCTGTCAGAACACAATAGCTCAGCAGGGAGGATTCCCCTACCTACATGGAGTGCATGGATGGGAGAATCAAGTCAGTTTTTTTTCATTCTCCCTGCTGGTTGAACCCCAAAAAAAACCCCTAATCTACGGGCTGCCTTAACCTTTATTTATTCATCATTATTCAAAACTGTTGGTAAGGCATTAGGCTGGGTTCAAATGTGTGCAGTGTGTGGGTGGGTGAAGCATGCTGCAGCGGCAGTAAACACATTAAGTCCAGCTATAATTAAGAAACTTGTATAGAAACAACGTCTCAAAGATACAAACAGCCCAGCAGAAAGGCTCCCAGCTTGGAAACATTCACAGTTCTGTGCCAAAATGCAGAGTGGAGCAGGTTCTGATACACCGACAGTGTGTGTCTCTGAGGGTGTATTGTGGACTGGCCAATCTAAGCCCAATGAGGATGGATTCCTATGAAGGATAGCGGGTCCCTATTTGGTCCCTACTTATCCCAAACTTTGCCCTACTGCTATTCATGTTCCTGTCCCTACCCTGTCCACTTGCAAAATGCGCATTAATCCCAGGAGCCAGGGTCTTAAATAGACTCTGCCTGAACCAGGATGGCCACCAGTGTCACATGGGGTGGCAATATTCAACCGGATCACTTCCCCAATGACCCAGGAAACCATAGAGGAATATGTTCCTCTTGACTTCCTCTCCCTCTGCAGTACTGCTGCGGATGAGCACCACCAGCAGTGGAGGAAAGTGACTGCACCTGCCTACAAGTGTGTTAATGCCTTTTCCATTAAGGCAGCCTATTAATCTTATATAGGCTGTCAGCGCACCTAGTCACTTCCAAAAGCACAACAGAACCTTGTTTAGGACTGCATGGTAGAGCATTGCGGTGCACTCTAGTGCAGGTGTTTTGCCCTAGAGCATGTGGTACTGTTCATAATGAATGGCACTCCAGCATACAGATGAAGGTAATGTCACATTACAGTGTAAATGTGGTTTGCAGGTACCTTGAATAGCCTGACTTTCCACTGGCTTGTGTGTATAGGCAGCAGAGACATAGAGGCGGCTTTTCCCTGTGTAGTTATCATACACATATTTTGTAGAAATGCAGTCATCTTATATAAATGTATTTATATATTGTAACAACATTGTAAACCAGATTAGAACCTGTAAAACAAGATGTTCTGTGAATTCAAGAAGATCCTGCCAGAGTGATGTCCCTTTGGGCCCCAAAGGTTGTTTGCCTACAGGCTTCAATAATGGAGTCTGGACCTGTTGACACCATTTTTACTTATTGCTATCCTCTAAATAATTTAGAGACGTGGGGTCCTATCAGACAGTTTTGCTTCCACAGTGGCTTATTGGTGTTGGATATGGATAATAAAAGCCCAGAAGCAGGCAAGAGGGAAACTGTACAGTACCCCTGACTTACTCTGCTAGAATTATTTTGCAGTGAGCTATATTCATGGCTGCATGACAAATATTTATCACAAGATTCCCACATGGGTTCAACATTCCTCAGTACAGTGCTAGTAATCGCGTGTGCCCAATCATGCATGACACAATGCCCACTTGCTGGTGGATGGATTCCAAGAAATATAGGCTAGCTATCGGTGTGTCTTGTTTATTTATTCCTTGTTTCATACTTTCCACAATATGAAAAGGGCCATAAATCACAGAAAGTGATCAGATGTTGATGTAAAAATCCTTTGTTTTCCTTAATCCTACTTCAATAAGCAATTCTAAAATGGAGTGAAGGCTTGATCACACTAGTCAGCATGCTAAAACATGCATGTGGTGGTGTATGTTGTGTAGGGGCAGTGGACTGCATTGCAACAACGTAACGCATGGGTTTCTTTCTTTTTTTTTTTTTTACTTTACTGAACAGTCACAAAATGATACACAATTCAGCAGCTCTATGTACTGCAGTGCATTGCAACTTTCAGTGGTGCAATTCGGTACGGTTAGTTGCACTGTGTAAAAAGCATGCATGCTGCATTTTTACATGGTGCATGTGTAATGTGAACAACTCACATAGAAAATGATTGTTTTCTATGTGTCCATGCATTGATCTATGTACATGAATGCAACTCAATGGACATGGTGTGAACAAGCCCTCATAGCCAACTAAGGACAGGAATTGTGTGGTTGGTAGGATCACCAGGGAAAAAGAAACAAAAAAAAAAAAAAAAAACTCTATTTTGCTCTATCCTAAACTAAGGACAAAAACATTTACAGCGGAGTTCTTCTTCAAAGTGGGCCTACCTCCAACCAGGTCATGTCAATGATTTGAAAGCAGCTTTCATTATAATGATGCCTGGTGGTCCTACCATGAAAATGATTGTTCAAGCACTTCCTATTCTAACACTCTGTCCCAGTTATGCTCCTGTGTTGCCACCCTGTCACAGGAGATCAGCATCAGTGAGATGCAACAAAGGATGAAAAAGAGATGAAAACTATATTTCATTAAAGAAAATGCAATTATTTATAATAGTGCTTTAGCAAACTAAATGTAATCCATTTGGGGGTTACATCTACATTAAAGTCCATTTCTTAGTAAGTATTTTGGATATTTATCCCCTACAGCTTCGCCGGATGAAGGAGCTGGAGCAGGAAAGAGATGCTCTGCTAGATGGAGTTCAGCTGGTGGACAAAGCACGGGATTGGTACCGGGAACGTCTACATGAAGCAGAACAGAAGAGGGAATGGCAGTGCACATTGGTAGGGTACACACCAATCCTGTTTCATTGTGGACTAACACTGATGTGGGCAGCACACTAGCTTAGTGGTTAGTACTGATGCTTTATGCAATAGGGTCCTTCCTTTAAATTACCTCCAGAACATTATCTGCATGGAGTTTGCATGTTCTTTCTGTGGAAACTCCAGCTCCCACACGCCAAACACATGCTGATAGCTTAATTAGCTTTTGTCTGGCCCTAATATGTGTGTACAAATTGTCTATGTATATGTGTTATCACATTCTGCAAGCCTATTCCAAGCTGAGCAGTTGGTGTGGGTTGAGGGAAGAACTAGCGACCTACCTTGCATGAAAAAGCTTGCTAAGAAAATTCTGGGGAAAGGGCTCTTAAGCATTCCAGAACCAGTGCCCATAGAATTGCGGAGTGTCAGATATGACTAAGCGAATATCATCCAACACTGATGTGTTCAACTTTGATTTTTTTATGTAACACCAATCATTTCCATAGTGTGTAATGGCATATTTACACTATATCTTTATCATTGTAGTGCACTACTGGTAGGATGGTTAAGCAGGCCTCTAAAGATCATGCACATAGCCTTTGTTAGCTTCTATAGCACATTGCAGCTCTGAAACCCAATTATTTTAATACTACTCTTTCTTGGATCTCAGTGCCTGTTGTTAATGGTAAAAATGAAATGTCCATAAAATGTGGGGATGCAAGTAAAAAAATGAACGTTATTTTATAGTACTGAACATAATGATGAACAAACAGAAAGAGCAACATTCAAAAAATAAATAAAAAAGCAGCCTGTAAAATAAGAGAGAGAATACTTACCTATCCCACTCTGAATTTTGCTGTCTAATATATCTGATGATCTCCAGCATCCAGCACACTACCGGTTGAGCCCTGTGCCTCCGTCTTCCACTGTGTTTGCACCTGCCAGTTGCTATGTCCTTAGTTCTGCTGGAACACAGAAGTGGTAGGGCAGCCTGTGGGTGGAACAACAGTGCGAAGCAGGGAACACTGCCATCCAATACACTCATGTAGCACAATCCCCTTAGGGGTCACTGAGTTTTGGGTCTCCCTAAAGCTCTGCACAACCAGGCAACACGTATTTTCTTCCACACTTTGCACACAGAAGTCAGTAAACAGTCCTTGAGCTTGGTTTCTTTGTTTTATTAATATACAGGATGCCCAAGGAAACTGTAAATTTTGAGGACAACTTAGAGCAACTATGTACAAAAATGTGGACAAAAATAGTCTGTTCTCTAAGAGCATCCAAAGCTCTTTGGTGTACCTCAGACCCCAGATGAATCCTCCTCTTCACCCAGCTGCCTGAGGATATCCCTGGGCAAGGGGGCCCAAGAACTGTAGATTCAGAACAGTCCCTGATGTAGACTAGTTGGGTATTGCACCTGACCGCCCTCTCCCCTTATCTTATCCAGGGGGTGTAGGGGTATTCACTCTGTCTTTCCCTGTTTGTTTGATCCGTTGGTGGCTGCCTTCAGGACTTATGCTGGGCTGGCTCCTTCCATGCTTTACAGGCTGTCCTCCCAAGGAGACGATGGGACGGAGGAGATTCTCCCTTCCAGAATCCTGCCTGCAAGTGGGGTCCCCTCCCTAGGGCCCCCTCCCAGGCTCCTCACTAAAGCCTTCCTCTCAGTCCATCTTCCATCCGACACTGACCTGACTCGTCCCAGGCTCTGTGATACTTAAGGGCTGCCAAGGTCACCATGCCCAGCCTCCTGCCAGGGGATTGGCCAAGGTCCCTCAAGCACACAGATCTGAGCCTCCGCTCCTCCTCCAGAAAGCTCTTAGGTTTCTGGAGAGGCGGGAGGGCTCCAGAAGCTCTGACCTTCGTAACCTCCCTAACCTGTCCTGAGGTGAACTCCTACCTCACTCACAGGCTGACTCATCTCAGGCTGCTACACTGTCTAAAAAAACAAAAAAAAAAACAAAACAAAAACCATCTTACCTAGCTAACCTGGAGGGTGCTACACTCAAAAACTTGTTGATTGCTGAGGACCCTTTGGCTGGTGTAATTCTGCAAGAGATTGAAGACCAGAGGCATGGCTAGTTGGACAGGTAATTATTATATCACTTCTCTTAAAGGGTTCTTTTTTAACCGACAAATTCATGTTAAAGCTGAACTCCAGGCAGATATGAATAAATCAGAAAGAAATGTTGGTATTAATTAACCACTTGCCCGCCCCCTTATAGTAGACATACTGCTACAGGGCAGCAGGGCTGTGCAAAATTACGTATATATACACGTGATTTACATTTCCATGTAGGGGACGTGTGCATGCTGCCCTACCTGAGCCACCATTGATGGCTGCAGATGTCAATCACTGGGTCCCAGCCGGAGAGTCCACAGTGGCACCCGGCAATCGCTGAGTAACACTGACAGGGGAGAAACCTGTGTGTAAACAACACAGGTCTCTCTCCTGCCAGGAAGAACATGCTGCTGTGTATTTCTCTGCACAGCAGAAATATACACAGCAGCATTTATCTCTGGTAAAACACACACAACACATTATATAAAGCAGCACATAGCACACAGTTAACCCTTTGATCACCCCAGATGTTAACCCCTTCCTGGCCAGTGTCATTAGTAAAGTGTCAGTGCTCTTTATTAGCACTGATTAGTGTCATTGGAATGTCAGTGGCAGTTAGTCAGTTCCCCCCCAGTGTCAGAATGCCTACTGCAGTCCTGCTATAAGTCACTGTACACCGCCATTACTGGAATAAAAAAAATAAAAATAAAAATTTCTGTATATACACACACCATGATTTGTAGACACTATAACTTTTGACGTAAACCAGCTTAATATACACGTATTGGGATTTTTTGTTTTAGCAAAGACATGTAGCAGAATACATTTTGGCCTAAATTTATGACAAAAATTTATTTTTTTTTGCATTTTTTTACTGAAAAGGTTTTATAGCAAAAAGTCAAAAGTTTTTTTTTTTCAACATTGTTGGTCGTTTTTTGTTTATAGTGCAAAAAATAAAATATGTACAGCGTTGCATGACCACGCAGTTGTCAGTTAAAGTAACTCAGCGCCGTATTGCAAAATATGGGGGGTAAATCCTCTGGAGGGCAAGTGGTTAAAGGTATTAATTTTCATTTGAAATACCTCCCATTCATTCTTAAATGTACCTAGTGTAAATACCTGAAGTTGACTTTTCAGTCTCATCTAAGTCCCTGTGCCACAACATTCAGACTGGAAAGGGGAGAAGTAGTACTTGGGGCCAGTCAAGTCTCCTGAATGCTAATGTGAAAGAAAAGAGAGCAAGAGAGATGAATTCATCAATCTGCTGCTGCTCCTTTGTCCTGTCACTGGCTGGGGAAAGTGTGATGACCTGAGAGTGTTGCTTAACTGTAGTAGAGTAAAGCTGGGTCACTAGACTGACTGTGTTGGGTCAGCGTCACTGTTCCTGCTAAGTTCAACCAAGAATTGAATTATTTCTATACTCTGTATTTCTATTCAGAGTTTTATCCATTACCACAAAAAAGGATTGTGTCTGCGTACAAGTTATCTCATGTTGTCTCTTGCCTTAGGATCAGGCGCCTCCTCCTCCCCTCCTTGGATCAGCTCTTTTGGTACAGATTCAGGAAGTCAACAAATTCTTGAATGACCTAATTTCCTATCCAGAAAAGGTAAGGATCTGTAAACCCCTAGATCAGTGGTGGTCATCCTAACAAGGTATAGCCAATTGCAGCTCCTGACATCAGCAAAGAACCACACATAATATTCAGAATAAGGAATGCTACAGAAGACTGCCAGAGACTGTAGAATATTAAAAAGGTAACAGTTGGAAATGTTGGACCATGTGGTTTGAAACATATATAGGAAACAGCCAGAGACCAGAAACTTGTTACATGAGACTGCTAGAGATCATTGCCATTAGATTCTCTTTAAAATTCCACTCTCCCACTGCTGTGGTCCGAGAGCCATAAGATGGTCACCAGGTGTGATTTGGTCCAGTTTGGACAATGATACTTCTTCAGAGCAAGCAGAGATTTTGAAAGCTATGAAAGTTTGAGGTAGCTGATGTATGAAATCTTCAAATGGAGACTTAAAATAAAATAGGGCATTATTTAATAATAGTTATTTAGTAATATTAACTTGTTTGTGAAATCTACTAATTACTACATATAACAATTTAGTGCGTGTGTCTGTAATTTAGTGCTACTGCTTTAAAATAAACCTATCGTTAAAATTGACATATTGATGACATGATTCAACAGACCACGTCAGCAGAAAAAAAAAAAGTCTTAAGTCCAGAAACTCATGGTCTCTGACCACCATGAATATTGTTGGCATTTTATTTCATTAAAGACATCAAAAAGTCTTTTATTTCCAGCCAGACCCTGTATGCTGGTCTTATATTGAGATACTAGGACCAGCAAAGCACAGTCAGTAAAGCCTGCATGTGTATTGTTCAAATTATGACTGACTCCAATATACAAATATAATTACAATGTATACACAGAAATTTTTTTTAGGACTCTAAAGGACCTTTAATAAAGCCCTATACACCCCTGAGTGCAGGTAGCCTGGGCTTATACTTACCTTCAACCCCGATTTAGCAATTCTACCACCAATATGTATCTGGCCAGCTCTCTTTTATTCTGCATTCTGCATATGGGTGGTGTTTCCCTATTCATCCTAGTGGCTAGCCCTTCTCATGGTAGCCTTCAATGACCGCTCAGAGTATATGGCTGTCCCCATAGGAATGAATGGGGCTATTCAGGTCCTTGTGGGTGGTTAAATCACTGGATTGGGACTGAAGGCAAGTCCAGGCTGCCCTCACTAATGGGGGCTGGGCTTTATTTTAAGGTCAGCTTAATTAAAGGCAAAGTTCTCCTTTAAAGAGACCCTGTCACCAGGTTCTCTGACATATTCCACATTTTCTTTATATAGCTCAAGTTTGTGTTTTAATGGTCATCTCTAGGGAATGTTAAAGTATCTGGAGGCTTAGATTGCCTCATCTAATATATGCTTCTGGTGTTACAGTTCTGTTGAGCTGTGCTGTAGATATCACATTTTCTAACAACATGCTATTCTACACTGCTCAAAAAAATTAAAGGAACACTTTTTATCAGTGTATAGCATCAAGTTAGTTAAACTCCTGGGATATTGATCACTTAAGTAGCAGAGGGGGTTGTTAATCGGTTTCAGCTGTTTAGTGTTAATGAAATTAACAACAGGTGCACTAGATGGGCAACAATGAGACGACCCCCAAAACAGGAACGGCTTTACAGGTGGAGGCCACTGATATTTTCTTCCCTACTCATCTTTTTTTCAACTTATGGTAAGTCAAGTTAGCAAGGTGCTTTTTTTCTAGGAAGGCTTGGCAAGTTAAAGTATCAGTCATTTTTGCTGTCCATAATGATAATTATAGCAAATAACACATGCATCTTAGTGTTGTGAATAGGCATCTAGTTTTTAATCCATTATTTACTGTTCTGATGTCAGGAAAATGAATCCACTTTGTCCAGCATCAGAACTGGACAAAATGAGCAGTACATACAATCCAATATATCTATTATAATTTGGAAAATACAGCAATGTGTCATATACTGTATGTTCTCTATTCATTTCTTGATGTGTCTTCTCTATCCATTAAGGGACATCGGCGGCAGTCCCCATACAGCACTAAACACTCTGATACCATCGCCTCACTGCGATATCAAAACCAGCTGCTAACACGGGTGAGTATGATGTGTGAGGATGTCAGTGACGTCATTGAAGTGGTAATACTGGGAAAACTCTTCAATTGAAGTCAGTAATCTCAGTTTTATGTGATCTATATGGCAGCCAGATGCAGCATTCTGCTAATAACTGGTGGGACTGTAGCATCTTGCCACATGATGCTTTACTGTGCATCCTCTCTTTTATGCTTTAGTTTGTGAGTGAGACTTCAGGAAAGGGCAGAGCTAGAACCTGGGAACACAATGGCCTCCTTTTAAAGTCAGTCACCTTTTAACTAACAATTTGGTTGTTCCAAGTCACTCAACCCCATACAGGCATACCACAATCCATTTTTTAAAAACATAACGTACCACTTCTTAGCAATGAAGAAATTATTTTCTTTGCACCGTAACATTATTAAAGGGGCTTGGATCCATCAGAATCCAAGAAGGCATCCTGTATCACTTCCTCTGATGCAAGGCCCCTATTGGAAGACACAGAATACATTTGATACTGTAATTGGCAATGAGGAGGTTATCAGTTGTAGCAAAGTGGTGTATACGGCTGCACAGGGTGACAGTGCAGCAATTAATTCACTACAGGCCAAATAACATTGTCACCCTTCAGGAGGAATGCCAGATGCTGGCAGGATCACCATGTATTTTTCTCCACTGTTTAATGGAGGACAAACACTGTGGTTTCATGGCCTGTGGTGGCAGTATACCCAGGGGCCATGAAGGTACAGTGCCTTTTCCTTCAATAAACATGGGAGAACTGAGTACCGCAATCATTTTATCATTAACATCCATGAAAATAAGGATTGTTACAGGGGCGGACTGACCAGTTAGCCACTTGGGCGCTGCCCGAGGGCCCAGGGTCAGTAGGGGGCCCCATGAGATGCCCCTGGTACCTTTCATTGGCTTTTTCATAGGTTTTTTTGGGTGTGGGCAAGGACACTGGGGCCCCATAATCCCCTATTGCCCCGGGGCCCCATGAGTTGTCAGTCCGCCCCTGGATTGTTATAATAATAACAACATCACAAAATACCGTTTTGTACCCCTGTAATCAAAGGGACCACTGAAGTCTTCTTTCTGCCAGGAACCATGAGGGCATCTTGTGTCACTTCCCCTGATGTAAGGACCACCATTGGAATATGTAGAAAACACTGACTGGCACTGAAGGATAATAGCTGTGACATTGATAATCCTGATACAAATCATAAAGAGAATCCAGGGAGTTCAAAGGATGACCACTAAGTATTTGCACATTAATATACACTATATTGCCAAAAGTATTGGGATGCCTGCCTTAGTCCGTAGAGTTCAGTATTGAGTTGGCCCACCCTTTGCAGCTGTTCAGAGAAGGCTGTCCACAAGCTTTAGGAGTGTGCCTATGGAAATGTTTGACCAGTCTTCCAGAAGAGCATTTGTGAGGTCAGGCACTGATGTCGGACGAGAAGGCCTGTCCGCAGTCTTCACTCTAATTCATCCCAAAGGTATTCTATTAGGTTGAGGTCAGGACTCTGTGCAGGCCAGTCACGTTCCTCCACCCCAAACTCGCTCAGTCATGTCTTTTTTGGACCTTGCTGTGTGCACTGGTGTGCAGTCATGTTGGAACAGGAAGGGGCCTTCCCCAAACTGTTCCCACAAAGTTGGGAGCATGAAATTGTCCTAAATATTTTGGTATGCTGACAGCTTAGAAGTTCTCTTCACTGGAACTTAGGGGCCAAGCCCCACCCCTGAAACGCAACCCCACACCATAATACAACCTCCACCAAACACTTAGCACAATGCAGTCAGGCAAGTACCGTTCTCCTGAAAACCCTGGTGTCCATCAGATTGACAGACACAGAAGCGTGATTCTTCACTTCAGAGAACACGTCTTCACTGCTCTAGAGTTCAGTGGTGGTGTGCTTTACACCACCGCATCTGACGCTTTGCATTGCACTTGGTGATGTAAGGCTTAGATCCAGCTGCTCGGCCATTGAAACCCATTCCATGAAGCTGTCTACGCACTGTTGTTGTGCTAATCTGAAGGCCGCATGAAGTTTGGAGGTCTTTAGCTATTGTCTCTGCAGACAGTTGGCGACTTCTGTGCACTGTGCGCTTCAGCATGCGCTGATCCTACTGAGTAATTTTTCATGGCCTGAGTTGCTGTTTTTCCAGTTGCTTCCACTTTGTTATAATGCCACTAATAGTTGACTGTGGAATATTTAGTAGCATGGAAATTTCACAGATGCACAAGTGGCAACCTAACACGGTGTCACACTTGAATTCACTGAGCTCCTGAGAGTGGCCCATTCTTTCACAAATGCTTGTAGAAGCAGTCTGCATGCCTGGGTGCTTGATTTTATACACCTGTGGCCATGTAGGTTAATGGAACACCTGAATCCAATGGTTTGGAGGGCTGTCCCAATACTTTGGGCAATATAGTGTATATATAATAGAAAACCAATGTTTATTACAAAGAGTTCTAAAAATCACTACTTTCATATAGCAATACAAAGGTATCCTAATAAGTCTAGTGAGGATGATCTACTTCTTCAGGGCTGTATTCTAGGACAAATGTATATTACATAGCAGTCTACATCTATAATCAAACGCTCCAATATTTTTTAAATACACAGTACTGTGCAAATGTTTAAGGCAGTTGTGAAAAAATGCTGTAAGTTAAGAATACTAATACTACCATCCCTGCCAGGACTCCCTGTTCTTCGTTACGCTGAAGATATTGACATTGGCTGTATGTTTGGGGTCATTGTCCTGCTGCAGAATAAATTTGGGGACAATCACACGTGCCCCTGATGGTTTGGCATGATGGATAAGTATCTGCCTGTATTTCTCAGCATTGAGGATACTATTGACCCTGACCAAGTCTCCAACTCCATTTGCAGAAATGGAGCCACAAACTTGCAAGGAACCTCCACCATACTTCACTGTGGCCAGCAGACACTCATTATTGTACTGGTCTCCGGCCAGTAAACTGCTTCCTGCTACATTCAAATATCTAAAATTTTGACTCATCAGTCCAGAGTACCTACTGCCATCTTCTGCACTCCAGTTCCTGTGTTTTTGTACACATTTGAGTCGCTTAGTCTTGTTTCAATATTAGAGGTATGTTTTTTTTTGGCCACAATTCTTCCATGAAGACCACTTCTGGTCAGACTTCTCCGTACAGTAGATGAGTGTACCTGGGTTCTACTGGTTTCCACCAGTTCTGTGCTGATGGCACTGCTGGACATCTTCCGATGTCAAAGGAAAGTAAGCATGATGTCTTTCATCAGCTGCATTAAGTTTTCTTGGCTGACCACTGCGTATACAGCCCTCAGCATTTCCAGTGTCATTGTAAGTCTTCAAAAGAGTTTGATTAATTGAATTGATGTCGGTTTGAAGCCAAAGTGTAGTCACACCAAATATTGATTTCTCTCACTTTGCAGTTTGTAAATTGATAAAAAAATAAACATAATATAGATTTTTTTTTTAAGCATTCTTAAAGCATTCTTACTTTACAGCATTTGTTGAGACCTGCCTGTACCTTTTGCAAAGTACTGTATATCATAAACAGTGAGTACAGCAGTTATTACAAAAATCCATATGCTACCACAGATACAATAGAATATTATTATGTCTGTGGTAGCATACAGATATTTGTAATAACTGCTGTACTTGCTGTTTATGATATCTTTTTAAAATATTTGTATCTTTTGATTATAGATGTAGACTGCTATGTAATATACATTTGTCCTAGAATACAGTCCTGGAGGAGCAGATAATTCATGAAATGCATAGACTTATTAGGAAACCTTTATATTACTATGTGAAATTAATTTTATTTAGAATTCTTTGTAATAAACTTTGGTTTTAAATTATATATATATTGCTCTGCAAATACCTGGTGGTCATCCTTGATCTTCCTGGTTTCTCTTCTTTGTATCAATTTGTTAATGTATGGATTACTGATCTTTTGTATGTATACATTATATTATTGATATGGGCTGTATGTTCGAAACGAACGTTAGTTTGACTCGAGCCTCGGCCATTCGTGTGTTTTTGCCTGCTGCCTCCAGATCAGGTGCATTGCTTTGGCCAATCAAAGTGCATGATGATATCACGGGGGGGTGACCATGCCCATTGTGACATCATCACACTATTTAGCTGTCAGATGGCGGGAGCCAGCGCCGAGAGCATAGCATTTTTCTTTTCTTCTTTCAGGTTGGCGGCGGTGTCGGCAGACATCGTTATTAGCATTGGATCTACTTCATTTTTTTCATTTTTGCTTTTACTAAAGGACTTGTCAAAGACAGTCTCCTGCCATTTTTACACTATACTTTTTTTTGTTAATGGGTACCAGTAACATGTAGCCCATACTTACATGGGTGGAGGTGGGATCTGGGGGCCCCTTGTTAAAGGGGGCTTCCAGATTCCAATAAGCCCCCCATCCGCAGATCTCCACAACCACTGGCCATGGTGGTGGGGAAGAGGGCCTTTTCCCCCCCTGTCCCAAAGCACCCCCCCATGTTGAGAGCATGTGGCCTGGTATAGTTCGGGAGGAGGGCACCCTGACCTGCCTTGTTGCATACTGGAATAAGGGTCTGACATGGATTTTGGGAAGGACACCCATGCCATTTTTTTAAAAGTTTTGGCGTAGGGGTTCCCCTCAAAATCCATACCAGACCCGAAAGACTTGGCATGGAGGAGGGGGGAATCTCATGCATTTTTTTTTTAATGCTGGACAATGCCAGCAATTCTTTTTACATTCAGCTGTCAGCAGGAAACCCCGCTGACATCTGAAACAATAAAGAATGTTCTTAGTAGCTGTGCGGTATCTTACTACATACTCAGATGCAGTAAGATAGTGAAATGTCCCCCTCTGTTAGAAGTTTGCGGTCGAACTTTTATGTTCAAATGTTCGATCATGAACCAAACAGAGTTGTGTGCGGCCCATCAATAATTACTGATTATTACTAAACTCTGATAACTCTCCTCCTCTGTGTACATAGCTGCAGAGCATGATCACGCAGTTACTTCACTGCAGGCTAAACTGTTGTCAACTTGCAGGAGGAAGGCCATGGAAGATCACTATGTATTTGATCTTTATAATAATAACATGACATAAAATTGCATATGCAATCACTGACATCACAGTAATTATGCCAGGTTCCATGACAGGTTTGCAATGTTGTTAATCAATGTGTACAGTCCAGATGTATAACTAGAACCTTCTGGGCCCCGGTGCAAGAAATCATGAAGGGCCCCACTGAACCCCCCTCTAAGCCTGGGGCCCTTCCCACTGATCCCAAGGCCCTTCACTCCCATCTAGTTTTGCCAACCCCGATTACTTTGTTTTACTGACAAAGCATGAAAAATTTACTGACAGTGCAATTTTTACTGACAGCCTAAAATATCACAGAAACTATTATAAACTAAAGCAATAAATATTTAAATTTCATTAAAATGGTGTCTTTGTGAGCATACCTTAAAGAAGAACTTCCTTAAAACCAGCAACTGTTGAGACAATAAACACCTTGGTCAGGTCTATGTACTGCATAATTTGTAGAATGCAGGGTCAGGAGTAAGTAACAAACAAAACAACATATGGAGTGCAGCAGTCAGGATGAGCACTACATTCACATCAGAGTCCCCCCTTACATCAAAATCCCCTGCATTCCCCCTATAAATCAGAGTACCCCCTTACATCTGTGTCCCCAGAGTGCCACCTTACATCCAAACACCCCTAAATCCTCAAGTATTCACCTACATCAGTGCCCCCTAAAATCAGGGTTCCTCTTACATCCTCCAGAGCACAACCTTACATCGTCCAGAGTGCCCCCCAAATCAGTGCCCCTCTATATCAGTGATTCCAAAGTGCCGCCTTACATATATGCCTCCAGAATGCTCCCTTACATCCTCCAGAGTGCCCCTGTGCCTCTAGAGTACCCACTTACATCTGTGCCTCCAGAGTGTTCCCTTACATCCTCCAAAGTACCCCCTTAGTACTACTAAGGGGGCACTTTGAAGAATGAAAGGGAGCACTCTGGTGTTACTAACTTAGAAGTGCCCACTTAGATCCATCAGAGTGCCCCCTGAAATCTTCCTCCAGAGGTCCCCCTTAGTGCCTTCAGAGTGCCCCCTTACATCCTCTTTTAGAGTCCCCCCTTGGTGCCTTCTTAGTATAGTAGGATGTAAGGGGGCACTCTGAAGGCACTAAGGGGGAACCCTGGAGGTATTACGTTAGTACCAAGGGGGTACTCTGGAGGATGTAAAAGAGCACTCTGGAGGCACCAAGATAGTACCTCCAGAGTGCCCTGCAGAGAGTCATTGATCCACACCATGTGGACCAGACTGTTCCCACTATGTTGGTGTTATAAGGAGCAACCACCCACCTCATGGCCAATCCATTTCCATCCTGCTCGCCCTCTCCCTGCCACAGCTCTGACATTAACCCAGTCCAGTTTGTGATGGATGTTGCTATGTCAACTCTACCTTTGGATTAGTGCAGCTCCTTGTGGGCATGACTTCCTGCAGCAGGGGGCCTCTGTCTATCTGGTGAAGTGCAGTAGGAAGCCAGAGGAGTCCGGTCTACCCATTAAACATCAGTCTGATCCTGGGACTGTCTCCTCCTCCACTCATATCAGGCCAGCAGCCTGTGCCACTATTTTTCTAGCTGGGGATTGGGGCATCTGTACTGCCACCATCGGACTCACCCCCTGCTGCCTGAGCAGTAGCAGCAGTCTGGCAGTTCCAAGCCAACAGCAGACTGCCTTGGGCCCTCTCCCCCAAAGTAGTGACCCTGGTATTTCTTTCACTGGTACAGTCAATAGTTGGCATTAGTGTTTTTAGAAATACAGGGGTTGATTTACTAAAATCTAGTACAGCTCTGCAGAGAAACCAATCAGCTTCCAGTTTTTTTTTTTTTTTGGCAAAGCTTCATTGAACAAGCTGAAATTAGAAGCTGATTGGCTACCATGTATAGCTGCACCAGATTCTACACTCTCCAGTTTTAGTAAACCAACCCCACAGGGACAATTGAGAATGCACAGATCACAGAAAGTCACACACACAGACCAGACCCTATGGCAACTGATAGAATTGCCAGCTTGCCAAGCAAGATTTGTTTGTAGCTGTCAGAGAGGGCCAACAGGCAGAATAGGTACCATAGACCAGATCTTTGTGTCTTTCCAGGAGATATCGATACAGAATGAGAGAATGTGGAAGCTGCAGAGAGAGAACGAAGCACTATACAGGGAACTGGAGGATCGCCATCTACACAGAGCTACATTCATCTAATGCCATGTCTTACAGAACCTCCTCATGGCATGGAACATTTTTTTCTCAAAGGGCATCAGTAAAAGCTCAGAAGAAAGTCTGAATCTATGGGAAATGTCATGATGGAAGAACAGTCTGGGCATATTATACATGGTGTAGTTATATAATAACAAGCAGAACAGAGATTTAGGTGGCCCTTGGTATGACACGTCTTCCACTTTCACTATTGCGCTGTGGGTGGTCTCTTCCTACTGGACCAAGAAACCTCCAAGCATCACCTTTAGAACAAAAAGCACATAGAATGCATCTTGTATGGATGAAGATTTGCTAAGTTGTTGTGTTCTGGACTTGTGATGTTCACAGCTCTGCATGGTGTTAAGCTCTCAAGTGACTTGTTTTCTTTTTCCCAGTGACCACAATAACTGACCTGTATGGAGTATTACTTCTAGCCTCTGTCATGCAGAGAATTACTTCCTTGCTGTACAGACACTTACTGAGTATTACCTCAATGCGTCACTCATTAAAGAATATGCCTTTTTTGACCAATGACATGTTGAGTTTCTGTCTTGTACTCTATAAAGTGCACATACAGTATACTGTATGCAGCTATTCAAAAGAAACCACAGTCTTGCTTCTATTAAGTGAAGAGTAATAAAAAGGTTAAAATGATTGCCTTTCTTACAGAAAATGTGGCTCCAAATTTCCTCAAACGCTGGCCACTTGTGTGAAAGCCTAGTCACTTGGTCATGTGATCTGATGAAAGTCATATTCAATATGGCTGATCCTCCCCTTCAGCAGAAGTGTCTAGGTCTTCAGACATGTGGTGCAAGCACTGGAGGGTGCCTTTAGAAGCATAATTATGTCAGCCCCTCTGTCTTTATTGATCCTGCTAGGCTGTTAAAATATTTTTAATTTAGCATTCGAGTACAGATCTGCTTTAAAGCGAACACCAGGCAGTCAATGAATAATAATGACAGTTAATGCAGTTATATTTTTATTTAAAACAGTATTCCAGGTATGGATATTTTTACATAGTTCCATTGGTCCAGCTTGGGCCAATGTAGCTATGCATATACAATACGTTTGGGATCCTTGTAAAAGCTGGAAGTCACAGTGACAGGCACTGCTACTACCGTGATCTCAACTAGCTTCCAGGCTCTTTGCCGATTGGCTGCCCTTCTGCATTGTGAAACTTTCAAACTATTATTAAATAAACCTGTGCATATTGTCACAAGATACATGTGTATACAAGGAAGGAGACTTGTGCTTAGTGGTAACCTTAGCTCACAAACCTCCAGGGAATATTTGTTGCTACCTAAAAAAAATCATCAACTGATTGGCTGCAACTGGGCACGTGACATTTCTCCTATAGCTCTGACCAACATACTCTTGCGTATTTGTTTTTGTTGCACAGTGTAGCAGTCTTGTTACATATCAATTCAGGTGTAACAGGTAAAAGAGTTTTCAACTGTAAAAAAGAGGTAGTCGCCTCATTAGTACAGCGTCATCCTCGCAAGTTCCTACTTACTGGGTGTATCAGGCTTAAGAATTCTACAACTACATTCATGGATCTCTGAATGAATGATGCAGCTGTATGGGTAGGGTTTCACACAGCCGTGAATTTCAATAGTGACATTGACTGTGGGGGAGAAGAACCCCTGCACACTGTCATGGAGGGGCACCGTAGGTTTGGGGGGGATTTAATTAGAACATGTTACAACCCAACATGTAACATGTTGCAAAGATGGAGCTAGTCTTTAAAGCGATCTAAAGCCAAAACCAAAAATAGTATATTGTGTAGTTTACCAATCCTTAGATGGGATAGCTGCATTTGTTTCTTTCCCTTTATTTTCAATTTTGACCTCTGATCCTGATAGTATAAGGGTAACACATTTCCTGTCCTAGGGTGGCAACACTGAAATGGGGGGGGTTACAGCTTACAGAAAGTGGCTTGGAAAAAAAGATAGCATTTTGTTTAGATTTAAGTAATCTCTATATTATAGTGATAAGGAGAGGGGGTGTAATCTGTAGTCCAAACTAGGGTGTTGTAACTCTAGGATACATGTGGCAGAAGCACTGGGTGAAAGAAAAGAAAACAAAAAAAGAAAACGAATGCAGCCTTCATGGTCCAGTATGCTCCAATAGATTACATTTTTGTTGTTTTGTTATACTTTAAAGTGCTCTTTCTTTGGAAAAGTAACAGTTGTTTAAAATAGATAAATCCCTATGTGTAAGATCACTGGGAAATGCCCCATCACCTCCTCTCTGACCTCCAGTCCTTATGTAATCAGGTAAAACCTGACCAGTTCAACATTATATCTAAAACTAAAAGAAAAAAAGTGTTTTTTTTCTGGAGTTGTACAGTAACTTGTATAATAAGTAAAACCAAAAACAAAAAAATTATATATATATATATATATCTGAAAGTCCAGAAATGTTGGCCATATTTTGCCATTTTGACATAATGCATTGGAATTAATGGGAAATGTAAAATCAAAGCATTTGTAGCTCATAAACCTGGAACTGTTCTTGGGGCTTCAAATTCTACTCATTGATTTATGTTTTGTTCACTGAAAGGAAAAACAGTAAAAAAAAGATAGAAAAAAAAATCTAAAAGCAACAGAACACATATAATGATTAAATGCATGCACCCACAAAAGAGGAAAAAACATAAAGAACACCAAAAGGCCTATTCACAATTGTGGCAACACACCTACTCGATGCCAGGTGTGTTGCAGTGTTATTAACTGTGAGAGGAATCACAATGCACTGTACAGTAGACGCACAACATACCCGATGGATATATCTAGCATTGTGATGCACTAGGTTTCTAAAAAAGGATCATGGGCATTTTTTTTATCTGTTGTTCTGTGTGCTAACTCACTGCGATGGATCGTTTGAGAGTGGATAGGCCCTCAATAAAATACAGTATACTAAAAATTGCCTAAATACACCCTCCGCATAAACTACAGCCTCTAAATAAAGAAAAAGGAGTAGATTGCTTTTTTTTTTACCCAAGCAGCTCTATAAAATTAGTTTCAGTGAAATTTTTGCTGATGGTAACATAAATGTTGCCAGCCTCACGCCACTCATTCCTAACCAGGTTTCTTCTGTGGAGCTATGTATCAAAAACAGTTGTGATTGCAGCCAAAAACTCCAATACTGCAACAAATGTTTTATTCCAAAACAAGTATTTTCCATAGATATTGGATAATATTGACATACATGATCTCCATGTTTAGTTCAGTCTATGGTTCCAACCTGTACAACGAGTCATTCATTCAGATACAGCAGGGACACAGCCTTCTTCTTCATTGGCTGCAGTGTCAAGGTCACATGACTCAGGTATATATTCCAGGGTGTCATCAAGATTATCAGGGCCCAAGCGGTAGTGAGTCTTCTTATCAACAGAGACCTGTTACAGAGAGTGATAAATGCTGTATTATGATCAAACTACATTTGCAATGTACATGTGTACAAAACAAAGCCATCCCATGTATGACTCAGCAGTCCGATCAGACACATAAACAAGTTCCTGGTTCCTTGGAAGAAGAGTGGATGTCAATGTCTAGGCTAACACTTCCATGCTGTATCTATAATCTGCTCAGAGCTCGTGTGGAAAGTTTTAGGGCCCCTGCAGACCATTGCACAGGCTTGAATTTTTTTAAGGCAGTGCAGGGAAGTAAATCTAAATCATGGGGCCCCTAGCAATACATTTGCTAATTCCCTGTAGCAGCTGACAGTGTAATCTGTGACAATAGATGTCATTAAACTTAAAACAGAATAAATAAAAGAAAAATCAATGATTTATTAGATTGCAGTTTACCAATTCCTAGATATGGTTGCAGCATTAATTTTCTTTTTATAGGCTTTGTCTGGTGATCTGGCCAGTAAGCCTATTCATTTTCAACAGACTAAGTTGTCCAGCAAAAGTGGCATTTAGAGGGATGAGACAACCCATTTACCACTCACAGGGGTGCTTACAATGGTAAGCAGTTATTCAGTCGTGTAAAACCTCTATCCCAAAATGAAAAAAAAAAAACCAACAGTTTCTGTAAATGCTTAAAATGTGTTAGCTGGGATTCAACTTTAGTTATTTGGTCAAGTCCATCTAAATCTGCTAGTGCTCAAATGGCAAACTATGTTCATTAAGTATCTTGGCGTACATATTCCTACCAATATTTTTAACTTAGCAGATCTAAATTATAAACCTGTGTCTACGCTTTGATTACAAACCTACATTTTGATTGTTTGGGCATATCAATATGGATATCCTGCCTACGTCATTATATGCCTTTCAAACGATCCCCGTTTTCCCTCCCAATGGAATTACCTCTCAACTTAAAAAGTCATACATGATTATATCTGAAATTGTAAAAAAAACTCAGAATAAAGGATATGATATTATGTCTACCCAAGTGCAAGGGTGGTGTATCCCTACCAAATGTGACACTCTACCTTCATGCTTTGTCCCTCATTAGAATCCTGGATTGGAATAATTGCAAATCCACTGAACATTGGATTACTTTAGAGTATGACCTCATTATCCCTGATCTCATCTCTCTCCACCATGGTCACCACCAGCTTCCAGACCATCTAAGGAATCCCTTCCTTTATTAATCGCTAATACGTTACACACATGGGCATTATATACATCCAAAGGCTTACTTTTGCCTAGGCCTAGCCCCTTAACCCCTCTATTTGATAGCTCTGCTTTCCCTCAGACTTTGGGTATTACTTTCTGTCTTGGACAAAGGAAGGTAAGCCCCTCCTTTGTTAGACCCTAACACAAGGGCAGTTTAACTCCTTTGCTGAAGCTCCTGCCCTCACTCTATATACCTGCCAAGGTGTGGTTGGAATATTCACAACTACATTTCCCGATGTCTATACCTTCATTACACTCTATTAATATAACCTACTCGGACTTTGAACCTTTATTACTAGAGACTGCCAGGCCAGAACACTCCTTCTCTGTGCTGCATCAACTCTTGTTCAGTGAAACGTACCCTCAGCCATCTAAC